TCTTCAAGAGTGGGACCCAAATCTGGATACAAAACTCCAGCTGAAACCTCATTGGTGCCAAGGAAGGTCCAGGAACATTTCACATTCTGCAGGTTTTAGTTCTGCTATCATGTCACGGTGTTTGCCTTTATACTGTCGACCCATTATGTTTTTATCATCCACATTAATCCCCAGAACCATTTCTGCAGGATTTTTACAAGCCTGTTTCACATATTATGTATGTGCTGTTTCTTCATTCCAGCTTTTCCATACCTTTTATAAATTCTTTAAAAATAGCTATGAGGTTTTAGCAAAGAGCTCTTTCCATATCAAGGGACGAAGCTTATTCCCTACTTGGTGCTGAGATACTACCTCTGTCATTGGGAATTACATCACTCTAGGTTATCTTCAGTGTAGGTCCTACCTTCTGAATAATTCTGCTTACTCCTCATAAGACATTTAATCCATTTCATCTTCCCACTTTGTGATTTATAATAGAACCTTATCTGAATGGATAGCAAGCTTTTTCTACTTGGTCTTCTACCACATGACAACAATCTTTTTCTACATTGTCCCATCAACTACCTACATTTATGAAATTTTATGAAAATTCATACACTTCCAACATAAGGGATGTGACAAAATGCACCTATGGAGTGCCTTTTCTTCTTTTTCACTAAGGCAGAAATCCTCCTGTCAAAGGCATTCTTGCTTTTACATGAGGTATAGACTGATTTTGCCCATCAGCTGCTGAAGCATTATTCCAGAACTGAGAAAATCAAAGATCACTTGGCAACACCACATGCACTGTCTCACTTATCTCCAGCACGTACCTGATGAGAACACCAATCCTTCTTGTCCCAAAGCTTAATCATCATTTTGGGTTTGCTTACAATAAATAAACTCCTGTTGTATTGCCAGTACAAAAACTTAAAGCAGCAGATGAACCTTAGTAATACTTTAACAACACTCTGCACTCAAGTTTCCTCAGAGGTACATCAGGTGTAGTCAATAAACCCTGCTCATAGTGGCAGGAGGGGCTCATCTGTTGTCATTCACTGCTGGCTGTTTCAGATGATAAAGCACTGATATTTAGAAGTGCACATAAGCTATGCCCCTGCAGGAGGGCAAGCTCCATCTTCATTGTTTGTGCCATCACAGCTTCACACAAGCTCAGCTTCTTTCCTTTAACATTCCTGTATGCATCCTCCATGGTACCATCTTGATCTCTAATGCTGATCCAACCCTACCTGCTTCATAATAGATTTGCCAATGGGCACTTTATTCCCTGGGAATTCTGCCTCTGATAGACTTCACTTGTGGGGAAATCAGGCTCTTGTCCTTACAGATCAAGTGAAGGATCTGTGTGGCAGCAAATAGTGGTCATAGATCTAGGCAGGAGAATATCTGATAACAGAAATGGTTGCATCTTAATTCCTATGGCAGGTGAGCTTTGTCAATTTTTATTAAATATTTTTTCCAAGTGCTTTGAAGCTCTTCTGCTTGTGTGTTGGCCTCTTCCTAAGTTTCTGTATTTGCTAGCTTTTAAATTACTCTTGCCAAAATGATACAGTGTAGAAGCTTCATGGTCACAGAGCAGAAATTTTAACATACCTGGTGAAGGTCCCGCTCTAGAGAATGTGTGACCTTACCTGTTTGATGGCCTTGCATCCACCTGCCAATGAAAGCAGCTCACAGTGAGATCTGCAGTCTGTTCCAAACACAAAAAGCTCCTTGACCCAAAAAGCTTCTTAATGTTTTGTTGTTGTTGTTGCTTTGTTTTAAATCAGGATAATTTCATGTTGAAATCCCTAATACGTTCCTACAGCAGATTTGGAGTTTCATGAAATTATAATTAAAAGCCGTTCACTCTTTCTCTTAGATTTTTTTCCTTTTCATAGTTAATACTTCTTATTGTTTCTATTTTACCATTATTTTCTTTTGAGATATTTCATTTCAGCTTGATAATGAGTCTCTATTTATGATTACATCCTGTCACCATTAATAAGATTTCTATTTCTTAAAGATTAACTAGCTTGATTGCCCTTACTGCTCATCTGAAAAAAAAGAGTATTATGTACTGAGCCACTGCTTTATAGAAATCAATTTTTGGTATAGTAGAACAATTTTCTTTTGAACTAATTTTTTTTTCAAGTCTGTAATTCAGCTTAACAAGGCCAACTTAGATTGTTTTGATTAGGGAGCATAAAAGTTTTCTGGGTGTAATCATAGAATGTATTGGGTTAGAAGGGACCTCTAAAGGCCACTTAGGGCAACCCCTCTACAATAAGCAGGGACATCTCTAACTAACTAGGTCAGGTTGCTCAGGGCCCCATCAAGCCTTGAATGCCTCCAGGGATAGGGCCTCCACCACCTCTCTGGGTAACCTGTTATAACGTTCAACCACCCTGATATTAAAGAGCTTCTTCTTAATGTGTAACCTAAATCTACCCTTTTCTAGCTTAAAGATGTTACCCTTTGTCCTGTCACTACAAACCCTTGTGAATAGTCCCTTCCTTTGCTCTCTTGTAGGCCCCTCTCAGGTACTGGAAGGTTGCTATCAGGTCCCCCTTGACCCTCCTCTTCTCCAGGCTGAACAACCCCAACTCCCTCAGCCTGTCCTCCCAGGAGAGCTGCTCCAGCCCTATGATCATTTTCATGGCTCTCCTCTGCACACAATCCAACAGCTCCACATCTTTCTTGTGCTGGGGGCTCCAGAGCCGGACACAGGACTCCAGGTGAGGCCTCACCAGGGCACAGCACAGGGGCAGGATCACCTCTCTCCATCTGCTGGCCACGCTTCTTTTGATACAATCCCAGGATTCAATTAGCCTTCATGAGCATTGGTGGCTCATGTCTGGCTTTTCATCTACTAGTACCTCCAAGTCTTTTCCCACAGGGCTGCTCTCTAGCATGTCCTCTCCCAGCCTATATTGATAACACTGGTTGACCCGGCCCATGTGCATGACCCTGCACTTAGTCCTGTTGAACATCATGAGGGTCACCTGGCCCCACCTCTTCAGCCTGTCCAAATCCCTCTGGATGGCTTCCTATCCCTCTGGCATGTCAACTTCACCATCCAACTTGGTGTCACCAGCAAACTTGCTGAGGGTGCACTCAATGCCACTATCAATACCATTAATGAAGATAGTAAACAACATTGGCCCCAGGATGGACCCTTGAGGGACACCACTTGTCACCTTTTTCCATCTGGACATGGAGCCGCTACTCTCTGGATACAACCATCCAGCCAGTTTCTTATCCACTGAACAGTCTGCCCAACAAACGCATATTGCTTCAGCTTCAAGAGAAGGTTGCTATGGGAGACTGTGTCAAAGACCTTGGAGAATTCCAGATAGATGACATCCACAGCTCTTCTCTTGTCCACTGGTGCAGTCACTTCATTGTAGAAAGCCACCTGGTGGGTCAGACAGGACTTTCCCCTAGTAAAGCCATGCTGATTCTCTTGAATGACCTTCCTGTACTCCACGTGCCTTAGCACATATTCTAGAAGAATCTGTTCCTTGATCTTCCTAGGCACAGAAGCGAGGCTGACACGTTAGTAGTTCCCAAGGTCTTCCTTTCTACCCTTTGTAAATATGGGTGTGATGTTTCCTTTCTTCCAGTCACTAGGGACTTCACTTGACTGCCATGACTTTCCAAATATTATGAACAGTGGCCTGGCAACTGCATCAGCCAATTCCCTCAGTACTCTGGGATACATATCCTGTCCCATTGTGTGAGTTTAGGTTCCTCAGCTAGTCAATAATACTGAGGAAACATTTAATACAAAATTACAATAATGTGTCACTTTGGCTTGCATTCCTCTTTAAATACGCAGAAAATAATGTCTTTATTTCATAAAGGACAGATATTCTTAGTTCCATTTACTTCTGCTTAGAAGTAAGAAGCTCAATAGCTCAAATCAGAAGACACAGCTTGCAAAGAAAGTGGAAAATTAGAGATTTTAATCTCAGCAGTGTGGTTGTATTTAAAAGCACAAGTGAGTGGGATGTTCACTGTTTTAACAAAATTACACAGATGTGTCAAGGAGTAAGATTTGCCAGGAAGAGGGAATTAGCTGAACAGTATTTGTTTGCTGAATGTTTCTCAACCACAGACTATTCAAAGAAAAATACACACATGAAATAAACCACAAAACATGTAAAATTAATGCTTGCAGTGCAAGGGCACCCTTGTAAATTGGATTGACTATAAAATAAATAAGTAAACATGAGTGTTATGTTTTATAAGTATGATTTATGCCACTGTTTATCACATGCCACCAGACAAAAATGCACAATTAGAGATCCAAGCAGCAGCTCTACTCATTTCATCTGTCTGCCAAATGTTATGTTATGCTTGCATTTTAATTTAATAACTGTGATAAGATATGCAACTTGGTTTTTATCAGTCTGGAAAAAAATGGCTTAGAAGAAAACCAGATATTCTCTACCTTTTTTTCCTCTTTCAGCCTTAAGCAGCAAACAGTCCAAATTCTCTACACCTTCATTATTATTGTAAGAGTGCTAAGTAAGTAAAATGCACTTCATTTCTCTCCTCACCAGCATTACAAACATATACACGAATTTAAAGGGTAACAAAGAGGAAAATGACTTTTTCTAGTTTTTAGACCTCTGTTATCCCCTTATTTTTGCAGCAGTTTTTGCGTATGATTCTATATATAGCCTTTCACATACACGTGCCACTACATCTTGTTCTTGTGTATGTGATGCACAGAGGATAACTCAACAGGAAATAGTATCCTTGGTTAGGGTATATTATCCTAATTAATAGAAAAGTTTGTTATATGCTGTTGGTCTAGCTCAATATCCTATCAAATCAGGACCTGCCTATTTGCACTTCCTTTCCATTTAAACAAGCTAATTTTTTGATACTGGTTTCAGTAGGCAGATAATATTCTGAAGGGATGTCCCATAAAATATTCACACTACAAAAATCTAACACCAGATTGTTTCTCATGGTGATTGTGTGATCCATTGACAACTAACATTTTATACCTTTTCATGAACCTTTTGCCCTGGCTCCATTCCTTCAATATGCTCTGATTCAGCAGGTCCTTCACCAGCTGCTATTTTCCTTTGAATGTGTGCATTTTGTTCACGCAAAGCTACAATCTGCAAAAGAAAGAAAATAAGTGGTCAATATATATAAGAAACTGAAAAACAAGTGAACGCACAATTTATTAAATCTACTAACATTTCAATCCTATACTGGCCATTTGTAGCACTTGCAAAATTATATCTGTACGTGAAGAGAAGTTTAAAAACCAAACATAATAATGACTAAAGGCCATTAAAGATACAAAAGAATCAGTAAATGACAGGATAATCAATGTTGTCTTTTTTATCTTTAATCCTTTGTGCTAGGGTACCTATTTTTTAGCCTGAAAGATGAAGAAGCTGTTAGGCATTGATTTTGTAACACTGCAAAAACAAGATCCTTTCTTTGACATGGAACACAATGGATGCCAAACTGGCATTATAGGAAAACAGTCCCAAAGACTATGAATCAAAACCAAGTGATGTAAATCAAAGTGCTAGCTTTATGTCAGTTTGCCCATCTGCTGGCAACTGAAACAGAGGTTTGAAGTGTTTTTTGTTAAGAAAAACTAGCACATAAAAGTTCTCTATTATTGTATTCATTGACTATTTCAGTGCATATACAAGCAGGATGTATTGTATTAAAAATACTGTTTTATTTATTCGTAGCACTAGAAGAAAAAACACGTTCAGGTACCGGAGAATAAGTTTCTTTCTTACCAACTTTTCAGCTTACTCTCAGACAATACAAAAGATGGAAAGATTCAGGTCCTAAAACATTTTTACATGGTATACTATGATAAATTGGAAGATCTAGCTAATATAAAACATTTGTTTTGAGAAATTGCACAGTTAGAGCTATCTGTACCATTCTGCTTTCATGAGCACATATAAATGATTCACTGAATGGATAACATTGTGTATTAAACACAGTAAAACACTGGTAGCATGTATAGATGCTGGTTTTGGAAAGCTGGTGTAAATTTAAAGGCTTCTGTCACTGCATTGTGTCTGCATAAATCCTGAGTCAGAAATACCCTAAACCACTACCTTGTCCTAGAATACAATGGCATGGGGTAGGAGGGAAGACTTAAGGCAGTATTACCTGGTAAGCATGTAGAGCTGTGAAGATTTTGTGGGACATTTAAATTAATTTAATGATTTAATTTTAATCTTAATTATTAAAGTATTTACTCTGATCTCAATTTAGTTTGAAAAAAAAAAAAGGGTTTTTTTGAATTTGTTTTTTAACTTCTGTTTAAATTCTAACTGTGAAGACCATTTGAATCAGCTCTGACCAGCATTTGACATCTCAGGAATGCACCACTTTAAACAACTCATCCTTAATATAAGTGTTGAGAATGGTCGTGATATGAGTCAGGCTGTTTCACTGCTCACTGAATTTTAAGTTACAGCCCCTGCCGAACTCATGTGACTCCCACTGATTCTAGTGCCAAGACTGAGACCTGTGGGCAACACTTCACCCAAAGCAATTGTAGGAAAATATAAAAGAGTGTTAATTAAAACTGAGACAATTTGTGTCTTTTGGGACTGTACAAATACACTGAGCTTTAAAATTTTTTGCTTAAATAAGAGAATTAGGTCAGTCTTAAATAACAGAAGAAAGTCTTTATAATCTCTTTAGCACAGACTCCCTTTGTACAAAGTAATCAGTACTTTAAGAGGGTTTTTTTTCTGAATAGCTTCACTCATTTCTTTTTCTTTACGGTTCAAATGGTTCTCAGAGCTAAACTACAGAAATTATGGATCTAGCCTGTTGCAGTGCTGGTTTCTGGAGACAGAGGTTTCTGTTACCTCTTTGTCCCCAAACATGGGCACACATCCAGAATTTTCCATCTTTCCCAGGTTGTGGTTGGCTTAGCCACCACAAGACCAATCCCCTAACACCCATTGGACCCCTGACCTGTAGGTAACCCATCTGTGTATCCTTACAGGACAATGCCTTTGTAAACCCACCTACCTACCTGTTAAAAACCCCTGGCCCCAAGGCCACATGCTCTTTCGCTTCTCCCCCTGGGGTGGGTGCTGTTTCAGTGCCTGCCTCAGGTGTTTTTTGTTTGTTATTTTCATGTTATTAAAACCTTTTATTTTGGAAGAAAGCGATTGTTGCCCATCCCTCCTTTAACCGCCACTGTCCTCCTCTTCGCTGAAGACCACCCTGGAGGTAATACGGGGGTCCCGCTGGGGGTGTTTTCTTCCCGGGCAAAACCAGCGGGTTTAAAACCCTTTAAATATATTTTTGAAAAGTAATACTAGCCAAGCAAAATTAGCCATTAGTTAGTGCTAAAAGTGGCTTCCGAGTAGACTAAGGGAGATACTGCAATGTATACATTATAAAATTATGATTTATGGAGAGTAATTATACATCATGTGAAACCAACATAAAATCACAGGATATGTGAACTGGCAGCCAAAAATAGATCTAGATTTTCATATAACCTTTCATTGATCTATTAAAATGTAGACTTCACTATGCCTTCATTCTGAATTATCACTTGTGTCTAATCCAGATCTTTAACCAACCTTTAGCTCAATAAGAACATCATATAAATGCTATTGAAAAATTTTGCCATTTCATCACATATTCCACTATGGTTTAATTTTTCTTAGCCTATGCTGGTCTTTAGACACCCTAGGAACACCACTTTTTAAGTAGAGTAAATAAATAAATATCAATTATCCCTCAAACATGAAAGGCAAATAAAAGAATGCAATATCATGTACTATTATTTTGGGGGATTCACTTGATTTTTGAATGCTTGGGAACAACTAGTTTGCCAAAAGTCTATCCTTGTTAAAGCCGATTGTTTCAATGGTTTTGTTACTGTAATGAATGGAGAATAACTCTGTACAGGAACAACATGGAGTCTGAAGCCTGGCATGTCTTAAAAGTTTCAGCTCTAGTGGAGTCATCAGATAACAGATCTAAGCTGCTAAGAGCCACACAGCTAACGTGCTTTCGTACTCCTTCTCTCGTTGTGATTTGAAGAGTAAATTAAGGCAGAATTAATGTTCCTAAGGAAGCATGGAAACTCTCCTGTCTTACAAATATATGTGAATTTTTACTTCTCAATTAGTTGAAGTAATTTTAATTGCTACCACACCCTTGTTTATTACTTACTTAGTTCTTATTTGACTGGAACTTTCAATAATGTGCAAATTATCTGCATATGTGCTGATTTAAGCACATAATGTGTGTAATTTTCTACAAAGGAATCAAAAACATGGCTGAATGGATGATGATGATGGAATAGGTGAAGGCACAGAGAACTGTAAATATTTTCCTCAGTAGCCTCTGAATCATCTTAAATTCTAATGATCATTACTACAGAAGACAGTGATAATAGGTAAGAAATTGATTGTTCAACATAGATAAAACTCAGTAATACTACATTTGACAAATGCCCATTTCTTATATTGGTGCTTTTATCTTTATGACATCCAACTTAACACCTACACAATATTTAACCCTTTAAGGTTAAATTTTTAATGACCTTCATGCTAAGTTTCCTTTTCAAAGATAAAAAAAAAAAAAAGTAATACTCTCAAGGATGGAGTCATATCTGCTAAAAACAAGCCCAAACGAAATTATAAAAAATTAAGAGACAGAATAATAGAAAATAAATGTGGATAAATATCATTGTTGTACCCAAAACTGGATAATCAATCTAAACATTCAAGTCTAAATAATATCTACTAAAATATAATCAAACATGTCACATTTTTTCCTTATCAGTATCTGATCTCATAATCAAATTATTAGATTCCTTTTCTAAATTACTATTACAGACATCAAGATTTGACCTGGGTCACAGCAACACACTTCAACATGACTCTAACCTAAAGTGAGAGTAAAATTGCAGAGATGCTAGTCTCTCCATGTCTAAAGATAGGTTCCTCTCACAAGACTAAATTTGGCTCCATGATAATTTTGCAAAACTCAGTCAGCTAAACTGAAGAGTTTTTCCTTGACTGAGAAAAATGAAACTACAGTTGTGAATTTATGATTAAAATTTAGAGTATTACTTTTCTCGTTGGACCTTTCTAACTTCTGTGGCTTAAACTCATGAAAATATTCTGTATTCTGAAGAAACATTTCTTGATCTTGTTCTCTTTTCACACACATGTCAATCTTCAACATTCTTCTCACTTTTGTAGTCAGTTTTTATGACTGACAAAGAACAATATTTTAGCATTGAAACTTTAAAGAACTTCCACTGATTTAGGTTCTATCTTCTGGATTCCAAATACACAGAGAAATGCATAGCACAATTTCTGAAGCCCCACTTGGTCATAATTCTTCTTAACATCTTCTTACACAACTTTTACCTTTGTGTGTCAACTCTAAACTATTTCCAACTTTCCCAAAGCCCAGCTTTTTGACTTAAAATTTTGGCACACATCCATACCATATTACTCATATAAATTCCCTCAAAAATCTTATAATCTGTGTTCATTTTCTACAGATACCACTGAATCATGTGGTATTTATGAAGTTAGGTTTTAACAACTCAGATTTAAAATTAGAACTGGTCTTCATTTCTGTAAATGACCAAATCTACATCTCATACCTGTACACTTGAAAAAAGTAGTCTGAATTGAAACGCTAAGGCAATATTAATTTCAAGTAGGAACAGATCTGAAGAAGTACTTGATATTCTAAAACCATAGCTGTGTTGGTGAAACAGACAATGGAATAAGACCATAATGTAATAATTAATAAAGATTACACAAGGGTATAAATGAGTAAGTAATAGCATAAATTCCATCTGCATAAATTCCATCTATTTAGCAAGGTATGCAGTCTGATTACTGTCTGCAATGGGACACTAAGATATACAAATGAAAGAAAAAAATGATTAATACTGTAGCTGTGAAAACTACTAAACCATGGAGGATAACCAAAAGCTAAGGAAAATCAGTACACAAAAAATGGCAAAATTTGAACTAGTCTCAGTGGACAAAAGAAAAATAAACTGGAACACACAAACTATACATAAAGATGCAAGTTATTTTGCAAAGTCTCTCACAAGACACAAAATAAAGCAGGAAAA